GGAGGTGCTTAGGGCCAGGGTTTAGTGGTGGAATGGCAGGGTTAGGGGAACGGTTGGGCTTGGTGATCTTAGAAGGCTTCTCCAACCCAAACGATTCTGTGATTCTATGATTCTCTGGTGCGGGGTAGCTGGTAGCAAAGCTATTTTTTAACAAGGTTTGGCTGCCCAAATCGAAGACAACTTGAATAACAATTTTTAGAACCATAGAATCGGTCAGGTTGGAAAAGACCTTAAAGATCACCAAGCCCAACTGCTTTTAACCGAGTACAGAATTTCCTTCTCCTGGTTTTCACTCGGAGAAATATTTAAGTATGAAAACAGTTTCTGAGATTGATCCTAAAAGGCAACGCTGGCACTTGATGTGGTCACCATCATACGAAAGGCAGTCAGAAACAGGAAAAACAGTGGAAAGAGCACAGAAAAAACAGAAATATATAGAAGATGAGCTTTGGCTTTACCAACCTCAGCGTAGAGTGAGTTTGCTATGTCCATTTTGTTCTGGCGAAAGAAAACATTAGCCATGTGGAAATACCCTCCCGAGGTCTCAATAGATTTCAGTCCAAACGCAGAACTAGCAAGGTAAATCTGAAATCGATATTTAAAAAAAACAAACAAACAAAAACAAAAACGTGGAAGTTCAATGTTCTTCTCAAACCTGAGAAATTTTTCATCGTGGGTTAATAATATTGCAAGCATTGAGGTTTTTTCTGCTTAACTGTAGCATTAATTATACCTGATTAGGACTGTAAAATACGGTACTAAAAAAGCTGTATTTTGGATTTTATGCAAAGGAATGCAACACCCCCAGATGCCCCGCTCGCTGGGGCAGAGGAACCTTAGCACAGCGTGTTATGCCGCTGAAGCACGGGGCAGGTTTCCCCCATCTCACTGTGCAACCCTTGTGTCTCTTGTCTTCAATCGCACAACCTGCTGCTGCTTTTCAGCTCACCAGTCCTGCCCACGGCGCCCATTTCTCCCCCCCGAAGCCCCAGACAGAGCCAGGGGAGCGGGAAGGCAGTGGTGCATTCCAGCTATTCTGAGCCAGCGTGTGACTCTCAGCAGATCTCAGACACGCGCAGCCAAAGTTCAGGCAGGTCTTGGGCACGCGCTGACGCAGACCAGCCACTTGCTAATAGCAAGAAATTATTACCTGACGCCCTTCCAGGCACCAGATTCAGGGCACCTAAAAAAACCCCAATCGCACAGCAGGGAATCTCTCCCCAAAAGTTTACAGACGAAGCACAGGCAGGGTTGTCTATGTTATAACAGAAAGGATCTAATTCTCCTCAGCCGTATGTCATCATTGACACCCACACAAAGCTACTATCAAATTCAACAGTAGTGGGTATACATCACTCTGCACGGGATAAATTTAGTCTATGTGGGACATAAATAGGACGTTGCGGAGTTCATCTGCCTTTGGGGGATCAAATGACAGGGAAAGCATCCTCAGGACACGACTGGCAATAACCACTTCAAATCTGACAACCTGCTCTGGGGGTGAAAAAGATTGAATCGGGGAAAATGCTATTGAAGCAGACATTTAAATAAGCATCTGTTAAATTATGGCTGACGGAGAACTGCTCTCTAACAGGAAAGTATTGAGGAAATGACAGCCAGAAGAAAAAAGTAACTTATCTGTTGAACAAAAGGCAACTACACCAGTTTGGGATAGGACTGTCTGTTCATCTCAGGACCATAACCAAGCCAAGAGATAAATTTCTAAGCAGATGCAGTGAAGACAAGGTCTACATCACTTCCAGGGAATAAGGATAACTGGTAAAACACAACTTTGGCAACACATGGATGCACAGGAGTCTGAGATCCAGACAGTTCAGGTGTTCACACCACATATCCTCTCGGTCCCTAAAATCAGGACTGCACATCTGCCTGCTGGCGTTTTCCTATCGATCTAGAAGTGTTAGAGAAGGCAGAAAAATTGAAGTGTTTCTGGATATGAGTTGGCTTACATCATTCGCCAGGTGATACAAAGCCTGTTCCAAGTTTCCTTCAGCAGCACAGAAAAGCCCCAGACCACGATGCAATTTATACTGAAGAGCAGCGCTGCAGTCTGGAGTTCTGAGGACAATCCACTGAGCTTGGGAGAGATACTTCGATGCCTCTGGAAGACGGCCAGCACCTAAAATGAGGCATAGAAACAGGCAGGCTACAGAGCATTTTTTTATTCAGAAAATTAGCGAATACTGCCCATGAACCCTTTGCAGTAGTTCGAAACGGAGCCCTAGTTTGTGGATTCCCCACTTCTCTCCTGAGCACTCCTCAGTCGAATGGGTGTTCAGCATCGAATTTACAGAAAGGCTGGGTGTCTACAGCTACAAGAGAAGCCAGAAACCACGTACTGCATTCAATTAATTGTATTTCAATATTCAATTCAATGTATTTCATCCCTGAAACACGTGTCCAAAACAGGTTAGCTACAGCAGCCACTAATGACTCATGTATTATCACACTACAATGACTCAGGGCATTTTTTTTTTCCCCCCGTCTCTTGCCACACAATTTACAACAATCCCTGAGATAGCTCAATGCTGCCAGCAGAGCGTTGTGTGTACTCCTGTTACGGTAATGATGTACAGCGATTTCTCCGGCCTTTGCGTCTGCAGCTGAGGAGAGCAGCTCTCCCCACGCAGAGTCCTACTTTGACATATATTTTTTTTTAATTAAGCATACAGTCAATGAGGAAAAGCTCCGCTTCAGGCAGAGCACACTTTTGTGAACGAACTGAGGCATTCCTCTGATGCAACGGCCTCGGCCTCGGAAAGGTTCCCTGGTTCCCTGAGATAAGAGCGCGAGCAACCACCCCGGGGAATTTAATGCTTTTGAGAGTGGTGTGAAGCCACAGAGGTAAAGAATAGATGTTCATATGGCTTCTGTTGTGGGAACGGGTAGAGATGGAGAAAATGTTTCCCTTGCTTTCATTGATCTCTCATCACCCAGACCCACACAGAAAAAGGGGGGGGGTGGGGTGCGACTTCTCAAATCTCTCTGAAATGCCCTTGAGCCAGGGCAGGGTAGAGGCATGGCACAATGTTGAAACAGCAGAGCTGGTCCTTCCCTGATAAATGGTAAAAGGAAACCAGAAACCTGACCCACAGGAGGTCTCGTCCTTGCCAGTGTTACTATTTAGACAATACTTACCAGTGGAGGCCTCAGCCAAGAGGAGATAAGCAGGCACCAATTGCACGGAACTTGAGCCGTACACTTCAGTACTGAAACGCAGTGCATGCAAAGCTGCAGGTATCGCTTCTTTATGCTTTCCATCCAAAACAAACTCCCGGGCTGTGCTGTACGCGAGATCGATGATGTATTTCTGCAGGGAAACATAGGAATGGGACAGAGTGAGCAAAGGACAAGGAGAAATAAAATGCACGGGCTCTTTTTACATTTGAGTTTTCAAACTGTGAAACAGTGATTGTAATGTGCTTTGTGTCTGTAATTAATGGATGGAAATTAAAGCTGTCATATTAGAGCCTGGCTTTCATTCCCACTTCTCGCAGGAACAGCTTTGGACATCCTGTTAGGTCATGTGGTGTCTTATGAGACGAAGAATCCTTTATGCCTACGAGAAAGGGCTAACAAGCAATAAAAGCTGTGAAGCACATAAAATGATCATCACAAGACCACAGAAAAGATTAGACAAAGGGGCTACGGTGGGGTTTTGCTGACAGTAATAACGGTGACTCATAGCAGGCAGAGGAGCGTATGGTTTGCCAAGCTGGTGCCAGCCTGGCACACGTCCAGCTGCAGGAGATGCGTCTGGAAGCAAGGAGAGAGCTCCTCACATGGTGCTGCAGCTTCCTCCCACCCTCTCCCGGCCAGTTCTGGGCCTGGTATTTTGGGCATGGAGTCTGGAAAGCCAGTCAAAATCAGAACACTCCTGTACATCCATTACCCAAGCTGGGTTTGGTGGTCAAGCAGCTTCTGCAGGATTTCTGTTTGTTGTCAGAACCCATAATGTTTCCCGTACATACAGTTGCTTCCTGCCTTTTGCTGCACCTAGCAGTCCACACTGCATTTGGCCTTTCCACCCTTTGCAGCATCTGATCTATTCGCCAGCTCCATAAGCATACCTCCATTTGAATGCCTGTTCATGGCCAAGAGCTCTACGGCAACCAAAGATGTTGCTCTGTGGGATGCCAGCCAAAAAAAGAGCCAGGATGCCTATTTATTTCTCTTTGCTTTCAGTGTAATTGTTGCCAACTCCCAACACTTCTGCGTTGGCTTTTCACGCAAGCAGTGCAGCGGGAAAGCTGCCTGCAAAGAAATCGTGTTGTTGGTGCTCCTAGTGGTGCTGTCGTGGTTAAGTCAGCAAAGCACTCGCTCTTCTCTTGCTAGGAGGCACGGGCAGGTCTGTGCAGTGAGCACTGGCAGAAAATACCATTTTACCTCTTTGTTGCCTTCTGTTTTACAGCTGTGGCTGAGCAGAGGGCAGAAAAAACAAAACCCAGTGCTTTTGGAGGGCAGGCTTTGGCTGAGCTTTACGTGCTTGGGGAGAGACAGAGAGAGTCACGCTACGGGTGAAGGAACAGCTCAGCAACAGGGAACCTCAAGGACAGCCTGCGTGTGTTTCCTGGAGATCCTGGCTGAGATAAAGGGTCATCCTTTCTGGATAGATGAACACATGGAAGAACACACCCCAGAGCGACAGCATGCTGCTATGGCAGGGAGAGCCAAGAGCTGGAAGACACAGCGGTCATCCCCTCTCCAGCCCCTGAGCTACCAGGATACAGACAGCGAAAAAGGCACACCTTTTCAAGTCATGGTGGGGGAACAAGTGGTGCCCAGGAGAAAGTCAGTCCATGCTCAGGGCAAGGCATGATGAAAGCTGTTATTGATCAGGCTGCCTCCTCTGTCTACACCACTCTCTCCTTGCTGCAACCAGCACTGGCTTTGGTGCGTGGGTATCAAGCAAATTGTCATATGGGGAGGCACTGGCAATCAGGATCATTCTTTTCTAACTCCTTGTCAATAGGATCGCTGCTGCTTCCCATGACGTAAACATCTGCAGCGAGGATGAGCTAAGGGTTAGGTTCTTGCACAGCTCCCAGGAGAAGAAAGGGCAGGAGACAACAGAAGCCCTGGAGCACTGAATATTTGAGGCTGTGCAAGTTACAGGCCTTGGGGGCATCGTTAGCTTTGGCCCTGCACTGTTTTTCATCTTGCGCCTAGCCCCACGCCCCCGGACCTGCAGACTTTGGGCTCTTTTCATGTGTGTTGCAATTACAGAGGTTTCTCTGAAGATGCCCCCACGTAGTTTTTCCCCAGTTGGGGTTTGAGGAGGCTGAGGACCCCAGCTCTGCTCCAGGTGGGCGCAAGGGGTTGGGAACACACTTGGGGTTCGGTGCCACATTCATTTACTCACTCACAGGTGCCAGAAACGATGGCACACTTGAAGAAACGATGATTTAAAGGCGGCAGCAGGCTTCCAGAAACCTGCAGTCGGTGGGGCTAGCATTGGGGCTGGAGAACTGCTGTAGCTGGCTGAGGCATGGATCTTTTCCCGTACCCAGGGGCTGCGGTAAGCTGACATCATGCAGGCAGGTGAGGCTATTCTACAAACAGAAACTTGGAGTTCTGTCAGTTTGGAGGTACTGTCTGCAGGCATCCCCCCGGCGATGTTGACAAAAGCAGATTTCTATCAACAAAGCTTTGGAGTACAGATGAGGTATGAAACTCATAACCTCCTGGCTCTCAGCTTCATGCACCTTCCCTTAAGCCACGGGGCATTTTTGATGTGCACAAGCTTCTCTGGGTCCTGACAGAGGCTCGAGCTGTGTGTTTTCTAAACAAACACTGTGCAGGAGTTGGTGAAGTACAGCAGAAATCATCAAAAAATAATAAACCTATGGGCTGGCTTTGAGCAGAAGGTTTTTTCTCCTGTCATCATGAGACCGCGTAGCTTTTCCCTGGGTTCCGAAGGCCTTCTTTAAAGCATTTTTGTTGGCTCTGTGCACAGGAAAATGATGAAGCCACCAAGATGGGGCTCCACACTACTCTTCCAGCTCCTGTCAGCCAGCCTAAGCCCAACGCTGTCTACCCTATACCTCGCTGTACATAAAGGCAGACTTCATGGGCGGGCTAGGAGCTGCCACCTTGCTGTGAAAGCAAGCGGGTGACAAACAAGATGTTTCTGCTTTTTCACTCCTTCCTTAAGAGAGAAGGAAGACAAAGTGTCCCTGCAGATACCACTCCCAGAATCTATTTTATTCCAATAGCCTGGAGACAAAGGTCAAAGTACAAATGTTAAGAGGGTTGTTAAAGATCCTATAAAAATCTCTACTTTGAAAAAAAATAAAAAATCAGAGCCTGCTCTCTATGACTTTTCCCTTGAAGTCATTCCAAGCCTTGGCTCAAGCAGTTGGTTTGCAGTTGCTGTCTGCTAACCTCAGCGTGCACTCCCATTGAAAGGAGTGACTCTCCCTTCTCTGCCAGCCCCATCTTCCTGCTCTTCCCTTGGAACCTAATAAAAACAAATGATTAGCTTCTAGCTAATCAAGGAGCACTTCCTTGATCAGGTGCTCACATGGTCTTTTGTCATGTACCTAGGATAATTTTACTGGCTATAAAAGCAATGATGTAATAACAGATGCTTTCAACATCAGTCTTCAATATGTAGGTAAAGTTTCTTGGAAAAGCTTTAAGCAGGTGAAAATGCAAAAAAAACCCCGCTACCTCCCCCAGTAAGAGCAATTTTAACTTCACTTCTTTCCAGACTTCATAAAAGATCAACTTAAACATAGCCTGGAGCAAAGGAGCTTTTGCATTTTTCCTGATGCTTCTGGGGCTGTTCTAACACACCTTTGGACTTTGGTCAACAGTCTCGCCTGTGATTCTCAAGCAGATGGGATTTCAAAAACAAAACTGGGTTGTCAGTGCCTGATTCCTCTAAAGCCTAAAGGAATTTGCTGCCTAAAGCCTGTTGCAAGCTTTTGCCAAGCAGGACTTTTGTCTTACGCAGGTTCTACCCCTTTTAGATGTTCTCCTGCTGGATGCTCCCAAGAAAGACCACAGCAATGAGCCAGTCACCAAAGTACTAGCACCGGGCCCAGAAACAACCTTAAAAATAATAAATGACATAAAATCCAGATTAATGATGTTCTTCCCAGTGGCACCGTTTGATAGTCACCAGCTCACTTTCAGCTGTTCTGTTGTCCTATTACTTCGTGATTAGGAGTTATGCAACGGTAGAAGGATAATTTATTTTTATGGGCAAGATTTTAAGAAGCAGATGCATTTGGGTGGGTTTTTTTATTTTATCAACATTGTGGAAAAGCAAATCCTGCCACCCTGTAAACAAACAAACAAACAAACAAACGAGTTGGAAACCACTCGGGCTGGAAAGGAGCTGCACATCTGCACTGCCCACAAGGCCAAAAAGCAGAGATAAAAGACCGTACTTAGTGGGAAAGGGTGTGTAAAATTGGCCAGGTAAACAAAGGGAGGGGACTTTATTTCTTTGCCCCCCTGCTTGGAGAAAGGGGAATCCCTCTCATCAGCGAAGGATGAGGACACCCTGTAAGAAGTAAAACTCAGCTGGATCCCGGACTGAGCGGGGAGATGCCTACCTGGCAAGGTGGGAGATCGGGATTACCGCTGCCTGAGGACTTCGAGTAAGGACTGCGAAAAAGGCAAGAGGCTCGTAGAATCAGAGAGAGGATGCTCCTGCTCCCCTTAGTATAGAGTTTTTGTTTAAAAATAAAATTAAAGCTCTCCAACTGAGTACTGATCAACCAACAGGGCACCCTCCCAACGCTTTGTACATCAAAATATAGGAAGAAGAGATCTAATTAAATTTCAGTGGCAGCACTTTGAAGTGGTATTCATCTTTCTTGTACGTACCTGCCTCTTCAGCAGCTGTTCCGCGCTGTGCTTGCTTTCTTTTTCAGAAAGGAGAAAAGGGCAGGTTGTACGGATTGGAATCAGCAGCTGGCATATTCGCTCGTGGATACTAACCCAGTCAGCTTTTTGATGATCCACATCACTAACAAAATGGGGGAAGAACAGTGGTTTTGTTTGCTTGGAAATGATGAACGGCAAGATTATTGCCTTTTTTTACCTTCTGGACTTTCACCACAAGAATTACCCACAACAGCCACCAGCCCTGACTCTGCTCACAGAACACATAATATATACTTGATATGCCCCAAACGGGAACGCAGCACTGTCCTGCTGAGTGACTGTAATTCTGTACCTTAAAACCTTATTTGAATCACTCACAAAACTCCCAGTAGAGTTAGGTTTGAGCAAATGCCTGGCTTTCAACACCGAGGTACACAGAAAAAAAAACCCCAAAGCCAAAACAAACCTCAAGTTATTGTGAAACCAATAAAATAGTTTCAGAGTTAACATACAGCTCTGCTGTGGACCCCATGAAAGAGAAGATATTTGTGTAAACATCCACAAAGCTCACTGCACTGCTCTCTATTTGATGTGGGTGCTGTTGGAAGCCAGAAGGAACGCGGCTGCTGAACGTGCCCGCTCCGGTTCCCACTACCCTGCCTGCTGAGCTTTGTCCTGGGCCTTCTCCCTGTCTCCCTGCCTCCATCCTGGACCTTGTCCCTGCCTCCTGGGCCTCACCCCTGCCTGCTGAGCTTCATCCCAGGCCTCATTCCTGCCAGCCAGGCTTCATCCCTGTCTCCTAAGCCTTATCCCTGTGTCCTGAGCCTCATCCTGGGACTAGTCCCTGCCTCTTGCCCTGTCCCGGGCCTGTTCCTGCCTCCTGGGCCTCACCCTTGTGCCCAGAGCCTTGTTCTGGGCTTTCTCCCCACCTCTTGCGCTATCCCAGGCCCATTCCTGCCTCGCCCCGGGCCTTCTCCCTGTGCCCTGAGCCTTGTCATGGGGCTGGTCCCTGCCTCTTGCCCGGTCCTGGGTCAGTTCCTGGCCTCCCGGGCCTCCTCCGTACGCCCTGAGCCTTGTCCCGGGGCCGTTCCTGCCTCCCGCGCCTGGCCCCGGGAATTCTCCCCGCGCTCTCAGCCTCGCCCCTGCGGCCTGCGGCTCCTGGCGGGCCG